TTATAACAAAGTGAATCAGCTATACATATACATATATCCCCATATCTCCTCCCTCTTGCGTCCCCTCCCTCCCACCCTCCCTATCCCACCCCTTTAGAGGGTCACAAAGCACGGAGCTGATCTCCCTGTGCTATGCGGCTGCTTCCCACTAGCTATCTATTTTACATTTGGTAGTGTTTATATGTCCATGCGCTCTCTCACTTCGTCCCAGCTTCCCCTTCCCCCTCCCCTCTAGCTGTAGTTTATATTTTGAATTGTAGCCTTGCGTGGAGGTGCCGCTGTCCTTATAGATTGTTAGCAAAGAGCTTAGGTCATTGCAGATTTACTCAAATTTTAGTAAAACAACATATGTACTTAGAGCACACACGTTTTTCTCTGGTATTGCAATTCTTTGAGATCATATGTCAATGAAAACCAGGAGAATAGGACAACTCTTCAGTGGACATAGATCCGGATTTAGGAGATAGTATTCCAGCTATGTGGATGTCCATGGACGCTGGTAGAATGTTCTTTGTTGTCATCACTCTCAGAAGGGTGAGTTATAACACAGTTAACCACATTTTCTGAACCACAACGGGAACACACCTCATATATTGCCCTGGTGTGACAAATGTTCTACATCTATACTGTTCAGTATGACAGTCATTAACCACATATGGTTACTGAGCACTTGAAATGTGGCCAGTCTAAGTTGAGAACTGCTGTAAGTGTAAAGTACACATCGGATTTCAAAGACTTGGTATGAAAGAAAAAGTTAAAATGCATCATTAATAACTGTATACATTGATTCCATGTTGAAATGATATGTGCCTCATATTGTATTTCTATTGGACAGCACTGAGCCATCTTAGAAGCTCAGAGATGTACAGGACCACAGATATAGCTGTTTCTTACCCCCTCTGGCTGTAACACTTTATTATTAATTTCCTGACACTCCCAGACCCCACTGCAGAGGCACCATCTCTTTACCCACGTCAGCAGCAGCTCCTTTGCTGTCCTTTAACTGGAGTACTTGAGAATTTGACAAGCTAAGGACCATGCTTTCCCTCCTGTTCTCTACTCCCTAGCACTCCTGCCTGCTGAGGGTGAATGCAGGAGGCCCGCAAAGACTAATGTTATGTGCTAAAGAGCATTCTAAGTCTTTCTCCTTGAGGCAAACAAGTTTGGAAAAGCTTTGAAATGAAGAGCTTTAGATTAAAAGTGCACAACTGCATAAATCTCTCATGTAGGAACATGTAGATTTGTCCATTCTTTCATTCATTCAACAAATATTTATTTATTTATTTTAAATTAATTAATTAATTTATATTTTTGGCTGCGTTGGGTCTTTGTCGCTGGTGCGGGCTTTCTCTAGTTGCAGCGAGTGGGGGCTACTCTTCATTGCGGTGCGCGGGCTTCTCATTTTGGTGGCTTCTCTTGTTCTGGAGCACGGGCTTTAGAGTGCAGTCTCAGTAGTTGTGGCTCTCGGGCTTAGTTGCTCCGTGGCATGTGGGATCTTCCTAGACCAGGGCTTGAACCTGTGTCCCCTACATTGGCAGGCAGATTCTTAACCACTGCACCACCAGGGAAGTCCCAACAAATATATATTGAGTGCTTACTGTGAGTCAGTCACCGTTCTGGGCTCTTGAGGTACATCAGTGAACAAAGCAGATAGAGATCAGTGCTCTCCTGGACCTTATAGTCTACTCAAGGTATATGGATAATAAACAAGAGACATTATAAAAAAGTAAGTGACATAGTATGTTGGAAGGTGATAAGTATGGTGGAAAAGAAAAAGTTAAGAGGAATCCAGAGTGATGGAAGGAGAGGGGAGTAGAGAGTGGCCAAGTTTGGCTTCATTGAGAAGTGACATTCAAGCAAAGCCTTGAAGAAGGGGAAGGTGACAGATGTGTGGCTATCTAAGGGAAAAGCATTTCAGCAGAGGAGCAGCCAGTGCAGAAACCTTAAGGCAGGAGTGTGCTCAGCATGTTTGAAGAACCCAAGGAGGCCACTGTGGCTGGGAGGAGAATAGTAGTAAGGTCGGAGATGCAAGGGGGAGCACAGACCATTTAGAGCCTTCTAGGTCATGGCAAGGATTTGGGTTTTGCTATGGTCTGAATGTTTATGTCCCTTGCAAAATTCATATATTGAAATCCTAAACCTCATGTTGATGATATTTGGAGGTGGGGTCTTTGGGAAGTGCTTAGGTTCTGAGGGTGGAGCCTTCATGAATAATGGGATTAGTGCCCTTATGAAAGAGGCCTGAGAAAACTCTCTTACCCTTTCCACTGAGTGAGGCTATAGTGAGAAGACGCTATCTATGAACCAGAAAGTGGGTCTTTACCAAACAACAAATTTGCCAGCACCTTGATCTTGGACTTCCCAGCCTCCAGAAGGTTAGAAATTAAATTCTACAATTCTGTTGTTTATAAGCTACTAGCCTATTGTATTTTTGTTACAGCAACCGGAACGGACTAAGATGGGCTTTTACTCTGAATGACACGCGGAGTCACTGCAAGTTTTTAAGTAGAGGAGACACCTGCTCCGGCTGACATGTTTAAAGGCTCACTCAGCCTCCTGTGTTGAGGTTAGACTTTAGGCAGGCAAGGATGGAAACAGGGAGACAGATGACAGTGGCTCCCACCAGGTAGTAGCAGTGCAAGTGGTGACAGTGTTACATTTTGATACATAGTGAGTTAGAACCAACAGGATTTTCTGAGATATCGGATCTGAGGTATGACACAGGGAAATCAAGGATGACTCCAAAGTCAAATCTGGGCAGTTGGAAGGATGGAGTTGCCATCATCTGAGAGAGGGAAGGCGGAAGATAGAGCAGGTTTGGGGAAAATATGAGAAGTTTAGTTTTGATATTTATTAGTTCTCTATTGCTACGTAACAAAATACCCCAATATTTAGTGACTTAAGACAACCATTTATTAGCCCAGTTTCTGTGGGTCAGGAGTGGTTTAGCTGTGGTTCTGGTTTAGGGTTTCTCCTAAGGTTCCAGTCAGGATGTCAATAGGGGCTTGAGGGCTTAACTGAGGCTGGAAGATCCACTTCCAAGATGGTGCACTCACATGGCTGTTGGTAGGAGGCTTAGTTCCTGGCTACATGGGCCTCTCTGTAGCTGCCAGAGTGTTCTCACAACTTGGTAGCTGGCCTCTCCCAGAGCAAGGGATCCAAGAAAGAGAGAGAGAGACAGAGCAACCAAGATGGAAGCCACAGTGCCTTTTTGTGACCTAGTCCCCGGAGTTACACACCATCACCTTCACTGCACTAAAACCAGCCCACGTTGAAGGGCAGAGGAATTAGGCTCCACTTCTGAAGGAAAGCATATCACAGAGTTTGCGGACATGTTTTAAAATTGTCACAGGTGTATTAAGTTTGAGGTATCTACTAGATATCTCAGTGGAGATGTCAAGTAGGCATTTAGTCCACAAACCATAAATGCTGGAGAGGGTGTGGAGAAAATGGAACCCTCCTACATTGTTGGTGGGAATGTAAGTTGGTGCAGCCACTATGGAGAACAGTTTGGAGGTTCCTCAAAAGACTAAAAATAAGGTTGCCATATAATCCAGCAATCCTACTCCTGGGCATATATATGTGGAGAAAACTCTAATTCGAAAAGATACATGCACCCTAATGTTCATGGCAGCACTATTAACAATAGCCAGGACATGGAAGCAACCTAAATGTCCATTGACAGACGAATGGATAAAGAAGAGGTGGTACATATATACAATGGGATACTACTCAGCTATAAGAAAGATTGAAATAATGCCACTTACAGCAACACAAGTGGACCTAGAGATTATCATACTAAGTGAAGTAAGTCAGAAAGAGAAAGACAAATGCCATATGATATCACTTACATGTGGAATCTAAAATATGACACAAATGAACTTACCTACGAAACAGAAATAGACTCACAGACATAGAGAACAGACTTGTGGTTGCCAAGGAGGGCGTGTGGGGGAGGAATGGATTGGGAGTTTGGGTTAGCAGATGCAAGCTATTACCCAGAATGGATAAACAACAAGGTTCAACTGTAGAGCACAGGGAACTATATTCAGTATCCTGTGATAAACTATAATGAAAAAGATTAGGAAAAACTATATATGTAACTGAATCACCTCGCTGTACACCAGAAACTAACACAACGTTGTAAATCAGCTATACTTCAATAAAATAATTTTGTAAAAATGTAGACGTTTAAATACGCTAGTCTGGGGTTCGAGAGAGAGGTCTGAGCTAGAGACATAAATTTGGGAGTACAGAGCATACAGATGGCATACATATTGGGCCACTCCCTCTCTCAATGAGAATGCACGGCAGTAGGGCAGACAGGAGCTGTGCACTGGCTGCCAAAATGGCTGTGGTCACCGAGTCCACGTGTAGCTGAGTAATGGGAGTACCCAACTGGGATGCATGCAAGGGATGTAGCATCCCCATTACGGAGTGGATCTGCTGTCAATTTCCTTCTCCCACACCCCTGCCCAATCCAGTATCCTGTTACCCAGCTCTGGAAACTATCATCTTTCCAAGAGTGAGCTTCTGTCATTAAACACTCCCATTTCCCAGGAGGCAGAGTGAGAAGCTGGAAAGAGCAGGTGCTTTGGACTCAGATGTGGATTTGAATCCGGGCTCCAGATCTGTTTCCCTGGGCAGTTTGTGACTTTACTTAACCACTTCTGTAAAATATTATACTTGGATAATAATGCCTTTATGATAGAATGGATGATAGGACACTGTGAAAGCTCAGCACATAGTAGGCGCTCAGTAAAAGTTAGTTTCTTTTTTTCTCAGACAGATTTGGAGTCTGGGACACTGGGGAATACATTTTATGTCTCATGATCAGGCTGCCAGGTGGAGGTAGGGAAGGGGCTGAAGCCATCACAGCCATCTCTGCTGCAGGATCAGCTTCACCATACCTTGGCGTCTGGCCCAGGATGGGACCCACATGGTGGTCAGCATCTGGAAGCAGCAGAACGTGGACTGGGCGGTGGTGGTGCTGCAGGGGGAGTGGTTGAACATGACGGGCACTGTGTGCCATGTGGGGAAGGCTGAGGAGCAGGAGTGGCTGTTGTCCATGCTGAGGGGCCAGGGATAGGGGTGATACAGGTGCAGAGATCAGAGCACACAGACCCAGTCTAGGGAAGTCAAAACGCTCCTTAACATAATTTTGGATATTTCCCAGTGCCAGACATATACCAACACCCCATCACATTAGTGTGTGAGGCGCTCAATGTTGTTATAACAGCTTTACGGTGGGAAACAGACCTTAAGTGTCAGGGATGATTCTGAACCGAGCTCTGCCTCATTCCAAAACCCACATTCTTAAGCAGGACTGTGGCTTTGCCCCTGGCAGGTCCCTGCAGGGTACAGATGCCCGAAGTCTGGTGAAGCTGGGACAATGCCCATGACAGGGGCTGCTCTGTGGACCGGAGCAGGGGAGATGCCAGGCTGGGGAGCCCATTGTGGTCACTGTGGGAGTGGGCACTCTTCTTGGGGGCTCACAGGGAAAAGGTTGTTTTTGAAGAGCCTTAAAGGACAGTGGGAATCAGCCAGCTATGTTTTCCAGAGAAGACACACCAGGTACATGGGACTTAAAGGGAGGAGGTTTCTGGTCCACAGTTTCGTCTCTTCCTCACCCTCTGTGCTGCCTCTGTCTCCCCCCAGGCCCTAGAGTCCTGGGGGCATCATATTCCTGGTGTGAGTGCTGCAGTCAACCCCCTGGTGGGGAGCACCCTGGGGGCCGGTAAGCAGGTGGGGGACAAGGTGAGGCCCGGGGAGCATGGAGCTGTGAGGTTCTCTCCGTCTCCCAAATCTACTCACACACCTGCACGTGTTCCCAGCTGCCCCCTGTTCCTTGGAACCACAGCCCCCGGTCCCAATGGGTAGAGCACACCTGGGTCAATCTGCCCAGGTGGTCAGTGATGCTGCAGACCTTCTGTACTTCAGCCTTCCTGCAAGCCCAAGATGTGACGGGACACACCGGCTCAGGGCCAGAGCCTCTCTCCTGGCTCAGAAACCTGAGGTTGTTGTAGTCTGGACTCACTGGCACCCATTCTGATCCCTCCAGTCTGGCTGTCCCAGGGACGCCTCACCTGTCCCCAGACACGGCTGAGAAAAGGGACCCTTGCCCGGCATCCCAGATGGAACGCGCTAAGCACAGCAGGGGCTCCTGCTGCCCCTGCAGACTCCCTGCCCCTGCTGTTCTGAGGGCACCATCCTGACCCCTCCCCCAATGTGGGCAGAGGTGGGTCCTGTGATCAGGGAGAGCCGTTCCCTCTTTCCTCCTTGTCGCGTCTTCCTCCGTTGACACCCTTTCCTCTCTCTCCTTGCAGACCCTGCCCCACTCTCTCTTTGGTTCTCACATTCTCTGGCTTTCCCAGCCAAGTTCCTCTCCCTCCCTCCTTTGCCCAGCCTCAGGCTTTTCTAGGAAAGTCAGATTTCCGCATCTGCCCCTAAAAACAGCACCGTTGTTTACCTTGTGCAAATTCTCACCTCTCCTCATTAAAGCAGGCACTAACACCCCAGCTTTCCTAATGTCCTTTCCTGATACTATTTTCACTGACCTGGTTCTCTGGAGGGTGATGTGCCATGAGGAGAGTCCGGCGTGAATGACAGTGAGGGCTTCGTAAGCCAAGTGCTCCTGGTGGGCGAGCAGGTCCCTCAGAGCCCTCCTCCGCACTCTAGGAGAAGAGCCCCCACACCCCCAGCTCCTCCCCGTGGGACCCCAGGGAGCTGAGGTGGCTGCTTCCCCACCCTGTTCTGATTGCAGATCCTGGACGTGAAAGTGAGGTCCCGGCTGTGCTGCTGAGCCAGCCGCTGCCCCTCGTGGAGAAGAGACCGGGGAGGGCAGGGAGGGCCCTTGGAGTTGGGGGGACTCGGCCTTGCTGTCCTCTACGCCAAGGGGACACTTGGGGAAGGAGCCCGCAGTGGTGTATCCCAAGGAGAGGAGGTAGGAGTGTGCTCTGGCTGCCAGGGTCTGTCCCCGTCACCTCCTGAACCACATCTGCAGGCTACTTTGTCCCGGGGGATGTGGCCAACACAGCGAAAGGGACTGTCTGGAAGGAATGTGGCCAGCAAATTCCAAACCCACAGAGGAGCCCCAGTCACCCCTGACAGACTGTGTCCTCTGAGAATGGCAGGCCAGATGCCAGGCCCAGGGCCTGGTAGTGTAACCCAGAGAGCCAAACCCCTCCAAAGTGGCCAGAGGAAGCCCCTTCAGTCCCTCCCCTGCACGCCTCCGGTAGCCAAGTTTTCCCCCCTTTGCTTTTCACCTCTTCTTGTCTGAATCAGAAATGGTTCTAGATTTGAAACTCAGGTGACTCCAAACGTATTTCCCTCCTATGGGAGTGGCTGTCCCCTGGGCTGCACCGACCTCACCCTGACGGCTGCCTCCCGGCTCCCAGCTCTGTCCTCCAGAGACCCAGCTACTGATTGGCCCTGCCCCTGTGACTGGTTCCAGGGAGTGCTGGGCTTTCCCAGCAGGGGAGGCTGTGTCAGCACCCTCTCAGGCCCAACACCCCCAAAGATTTTACTTCTCCCCAGAGACCCTGGCCCCATCCCCTATTTCCCTTCTTTTCCCATTATAGCTCAGTTTTGTCTCCTCGTCAGAAGCCCATTTTCTGGGACCATCTGCTTCACATCTGTGCTCACCTTTTACCTCATCACCCCTGTCTGTCTCCTCACAGGGGAGGCTCTGCGGTGCTCATTGCCACTGCTGCTGTCTATGTACCTCCACACAGTGAGTGGGGAGCTTTGCAAGGGGGCAGTGGAATGGATGCCAGGGTGTCGGGGAAGTGAAGATTGATCCTGTGTGATAAAAATATCCAAGTGCACAACACTGAACATCTCTCTGGTCCACACTTAAAATCACACTCAATGCCTTTCTCTCATTCAAACCCCATACCCCCAGGGCTGCCGTGGATGGTTGGATAGGTTGTTCACTGTGCAAAGGTCCAGGGACAGGGACAAGTGGGAGCTGAAATCCAGTCTATACTCTGCTCGCCGAGCCACACACCCTGGAGAGGTACTCTACTCTCCTGAAGGAAAGGGGTGTCTTGAACTTGCATTCACCAGGTCTGGCACCAGAGGGGCTGTATGGGCTCAAAGGAGAGTTCTTTTAAAAACTCACACCAGGGGGCAGTATAGACATGGCATTC